ACATAAAGTATTATTATTGTCAATAACAATAATTATGGTTCATGATTTTCATTGTAAGTGCTGTCATTTTATTTATGTCTATAAAAAAGAGATAAGATGTACAATCGTGTGTCTGTTTAATAGGGCTTAATTATTTGTTGTGGGACTTTATAATATATTTAATAAAATTAATGAGATTCTGATTACTTGTGACTGCCACTCTCTTTGGCTGGAAACTCTCTTTGATAAGAAGTAAAGCAAGACTGCCAGTTTTCTTATGAGAATTACAGGGTTTGAGGATTAGTCAACTGAGAATTGCTGAGGTCCTCCTCTAATTAATGTCTTCCCACCGATGTTTGCCCTAATCTCCCCTTTTATTACATTTATTACAATGCTTCAGCGGGATGTCTGTGTGGCAGGGAAGATCTATTAAATAAGGTTACTGTTTGGTTAGTGAAATAGCAATAAAGATCCCAGTTCTGTATTTGCTACTTTGTTAATTCTTTTTAATTTAAAGACTCTCCTTGAGCCAGGCACACATTTAAAATGGAAAGAGAAATGGGACCAGAGGCTGGAAGACAGCTCTGGGCTCAGCCTCAACTTTGCAGTCTTGGCCAATCAGTCAGTCTCTCTAGTTCTTGGGGCTCCAAGCCATAGAACATAGAGGGCCTGGTCGAGATGATCTCTAAACCTCTCATCCTAGAAACTAAAGTTTGGTAAATTTAAGGAGCTGTCTTCCAAAAATTCATCAGCAGAAACATTTTGGGGGTTTTATTTACTTCCCACTTGGACTCTTGTAATCATCTCTTATTTAGTTTTCCTCCTTCGTTTGTTTATTTATTTATTTTTTGTCTTTTTGAGACAGGGTCTCCCTATGCAGTTCAGGCTGGCCTTGAGCCCACTTTCTAGCCCGGGCTGGTCTCAAACTTGCAAGAATCCTCCTGCCCCAGCCTCCAGAGAGGTGCGGCCTCAGTTATTTTGATGCACTAATTGTTCTGTAGATTTTGTTTTCAGGGGTGGTAGTACCGGGAATTGAACTCCCGACTTTGTGCTCGCCAAGCACGCGCTTGTGCCACAGAGCTAGACCCCGGGCCCTCTAGGCTGTGGTTTGTTGGAACATTTAGGTTCACATTAAAAACCCTCGTGTTTGAATTTCATGGCTTCTAAATTTTAATCTGATCATTGTAGCTTCCTTTTCCTTATTCTCTACAAAATCCTCCCCAAGCTTGCATTTGAATCCATTTGCTTGCTATCACTGAATGTTTGTTTATCCTCCTGTACCCACCCACTTCTGTCCTTTTCCTTTTCCTCTCAACTCCACCCCTTGCCTTTACCAGAAGACACTCGCTGTAACCCTGCCTAAGTTAATTCCAGCTCTGTCTTCAAATCAAGACCTTTTTTCTTTGCAGAGTCTTCTTCAATTACTCCGTTTACCAGCAATCTTTTTGAAATCCTGAAATCCTCTGAAATCCTGCAGGACTTAATGATATTTATAACTCAATAATAAACATTTAACAGATTTTCTTTAATGCACATGTTTTCTAGACACTGTCTTTAGGTCTGGGGGATGAAACAGGAAAAATAGACTTGAGCTCTATCCTAATGGGCCATAGTCTCCTGGGTGAGGAAGAGTATACAAATTAGGTAAAATATAGGAAGAAAAAAAATCTTCCTTCATTTTACATTTACACTCAGTCTCAATTCCTGTACCAAATGTGAGCCTTAAAAAAAAAAATAGCTTTAATAAATCTTTAATAATATTGATGTATTTCTCCATAAGTATTTTTAGAAGAAATGCTTGTCTTTAGATTTAAGGTTATAAATTAAAAGTGGTTTTTAGAGTATCCTATACGAGGGAATAATGGGGTGTTTTCCCCATTTTCCTGTAGTTTTCAAAGTTGAATAGGAAAGAAATTATAGATTACATTAAGCACGTGAATAAAAATCCTGCAGTTAATTTTGGGTCTAAGAAATTTTTGAGGTCATTTTTTGTGGATGGTACATTACCTTGTTTTTTTTTTTTGTCATCTTGTATTTTAAATTATGTGTCATAAAAATCATTGTTATTATTTCATATTTTGAGTGAGACATCCATCTTCATGTTATAAAGAAACCATCATTTTTCTAATATAACTTTATTGATTATCTCTTCTGTGCACAGCTCTATAGAACTTGTTATGGATGCTACAATGTAGCAGGTGTTAGTTCAATAGACACCCATTGAATACATTCTGGAATCTCACACTGTAGAGGGCTTTGAGCCCAAGGAAACACAATTTACACAATTTGTACCATTTGACAGTTTCATTCCTGTGGAAGAGGCAAAATCACACTCTGATAATATCAAAATTTTGGGTCCAAATGTGAATATTTTGTTTAGTGGATATAAGTTTATGTAAATTCCAACATCTATATTCTTAGAAAGATAGACTTAGGGGCCAAGCGCTGTGAAGACAGTGAAAATTCCAAGGAAAAACTGTGGTCTGAGAAACTTTATTCATCCTATTATGAAGCCTCTGGTTTCTAAGATGATGATGATTATTACACTTTATAGATGGGATAAAAATATTGAATGAAATACCTTGAGCTACTATGAATATTCCTAAATTGATTTTTTTGTACATTGGGTTGATCACTGTACTCACAGGCCTAAGAGTCTGACCACTGGGTCCTATTCCTGAAGGGCTGCATGTTGTCAGGATTAAGCTTTGGACTGTAGGTTGGGGTAGGTCTGCCCTAGGATCAACACGATGACTTTATTGCTTACTAGCAGCATGAGACTACAAACAAATGACTATGCTACCTAGATTTCAATGATTTTGTCTATAAGAAGGAAATAATAACAGGTTTATCTCAGTGAATGCTGAATAAATATAGCTAGGCTTCTTTTCTTCTTTGTATCAAAATTTAATTTGAATATGGAAGGCCTCTATTGCATTTATAAAATGCTTTCAACCTGACACCAAATTCAAGATATTTTGATCTTGATAGAAACAGTTAAAATGGCTTTAAGAATGGGGATTACTGTTTGACTCAAAGAAACAAAGCTAAAGGCACCTGTCTGCGGTTTACTGAGATTACATATCCATGGTCCAGTTCTACCCCAGCCTACTCTTCACTTCTTCAAGTACAGGTTTTAAGGTGTGGGCTCCCTGATCATAGTTTTCTTGTTTAATTTTGCCTAGATTATCATCTTCTGATTTGCTTTTATATGGTATAGTGTAGATCTATACAGCATCTTCTTATCAACAACAGAAAGTATAAAGCATCACAGGCTTAGAAGTTGGCGGCAGTGAATTGTAAAGGTAAAGAGAGACTGTTAAATTTAGCATTGCAGACAGTAGACAGGAAGCTGCTTGGGTGGAAGGAAAAATAAAAGAGAAGATAAGTAGCCCTTAGTCAAAAAAATTTTATTATTTTTCCTTTGTCATAGGCACTTAGGAAAACATCTCACAACTAAAGGATCGTGTACTCTATCACTAATACTTTATACAACAATAAAATTATAATATAAATTTTGCTACCAAGAGGTAATCAAATCTGAACATTAAACCTGTATAAATCTCCTCATTGGAGTAAAGCTACACAAGTTATAGAAATACAATTAATTTTTAATCCAAATAAATTAACTTGAATACTATTTTGGTAAGTTTCAGTTTAGTCCTTTCAGTTTTTTTCTTGCTTAATGAAAGCATAATATAAAAGTTGTAAAGCAAATTTATAAAGAAATTCAAAAATAAATTTCTATCATTGATTCTTAACTCTCTGAAAATGCAACTTGTGAAATTTATATTGTCATCTTATAGCTGAGGTTTTACTGTGTTCTTCTCCTAATCTTATGATCATATGTAACTGTGGGCAAATTTCAGATGGCAACAAAAGCCAAATGGAGAGAGATAAGTGGAGAGAAAGAGAGAGAGAGAGAGAGAGAGAGAGAGAGAGAGAGAGAGAGAGAGA